GGGGCGGCGCCGCCATGCGGACTGCGCTGGTAGGGCCTTCGGTGGAGCTCCTTCTGAGGCCGCGGAACGCGCGGGGGGCGTGCCAAAATGGGGCGGCGCCGCCGGACTGCAACACGGGCACCGTTAGGTGGAGCTCCCTAAGGCGCCACGAACCGCGTGAAGGGCGCGCCACAATGGGGCGGCGGCGCCATGCGGACTGCGCCACTGGGACATTAGGTGGAGCTGCCTGTGGGGCCACGGAGCGTGCGAGGGGCGCGCCAAAATACGGCGGCGCCGCCATGCGGACTGCGCCGCTCGGACCTTAGGTGGAGCTCCCTACGGAGCCACGAAGCGCGCGAGGTGCGTGCTAAAAAACGGGGCGGCGCCGCCATGCGGACTGCGCCAGTGGGACCTTAGGTGGGGCTCCCTATGGGGCCCGCGAAGCGTGTGAAGGGGCGCGCCAAAATGGGTCGGCCCCGCTATGCGGACTGCGCCACTAGGACCTTGGGCGGGGCCCCCTTATGGGGCCACGAAGCGTGCGAGGGATGTGGCGAAGACGATGGCGATGATGACGATGATGGCGGTGATGACCGCCACGATGTTGATGATGACGATGATGATGATGATGATGATGATGATGATGATGATGATGATGATGATGATGATGATGACGACGATCACGATGACGATAACGATGGTGAGAATGATGACGATCGGAGGAGGTTGGAGGAGGAGGAGGAGGAGAATAATGAGGAGGAGGAGGAGGCGGAGGAGGAGGAGGAGGAGGAGAGGGAGAAGGAGGCTCGCGCGGCGCTGTCTTTTCAAAACGAGGACCCAGCACCACGTGGTTTCGCGACGCGGATTTCCCTCAGAAAGCTTGCGCGCGCTTTTCTGCGAATTCGTGAGAAAACCATTGGCTTTCATTTTTTTTGTAAACTCTACCATACGGGCTTCGCGCGCGCATGTCGAAATCGCGCCGAACCCCCTCGCGCGCGCGCCGTCGCGAGAACCCTCTGAAACAAATGAGCCGAAGTGCACGCGCGCGTCGTCGCGCGCGCATGTAGAAATCCGTCAAAACCTTTCAGAGCCGACTGTCCAAACACTTGCTCTTATGAAAAAGTTGTTTCGCAAGGCCAGTTTTCAAAAAATGGTGCGCTCGCGCTCTTGCGAATTCTTAAGAAACCATCGATTGTTCAACATGTTCATGGAATTTTGCCAAAAAGGCCACTGGCACCGCTCGCCGAAATCAGTTGCGTGCCCTTGCGCGCGTGCTGGGAGGGGGCGCGACCCGCGTCAAATAATGCCACGCGGGCCACTGTCGCGCGTCGGCCGCGCGCGCATGTCGAAGTCTTTCCAAAACCTTTTATCGCCAACGCGAGGACGCCGTCATCGCCGTCGGCGCGATCAGCATCGGCGCCCCCATCTGGCCGACGTTGCCATGATACCGCGCCCGCCCAAGTCGCCGACTCGCATGGAAGCGTCCGTTGGGATGTGCCCTGCGGTCAGCGCCACCGCGGCCGCGTCGGTCGTGCCCAACTTGCTGGCCGCTGCGCGCGCGCTTGGGTTGGCGCGGCCGCACAGATGCACCGGCCAACGCGAAGGGCTCATCGAAATCGCCACCGCATGGGTTTTACAAACCAAGTTGCGGGCGGGCGGGTGCGATGTTTGCTAGGGCATGGAATGTGCAAACCCGTTTGTAATAACCAGTTGTACTTCGCAGATCGCACCACATATATTGCACGTGAATTGCAAGGCCTAGGCTGCTCCGCATGCGTTGCTCCGCGTAGATTGAACCACGCGCATTGCACCACAGGTTTAGCACCGCATAGATTACGCAACATAGATCGCACAACCTTTTCCACAACGCGTGTTGCGCCGCATTGTGTGCGTCGCACATGTCGCACCGCGTAGATTGCATAACGTAGAGAGCATGCCATACATAGCACACGGTATTGCGCGCTGTAGATGTATCAGCATAGGTTGCACAACGTAGATACTCTTCATTGCCCCTGGGTTAATTGGTCAGCCTGTCATATTGTTTGTCGTGCGTGATGTCGCGCACTCGCCCATTTTAAATTCGAACTCCGCATCCCAGGCGGTCGGGGTATTCCCCCCCCCCCCCTCTTCCTTGTCAAATAATACGACGCGCGCGCACTCACTCGTCGAAAACCACCCGTGCTCAACCATCCTTGGAAACACATTGAAGGAAGTGCGCGCGCGCGCATGTCGGAGTCATTCGAACGCCCTGGCGCGCGCGCTGTCGCAACAACTATTTTGCAGAAGTGGGGCGAAGTGCACGCGCGCCTGTCGGCCTCGCGCGCGCGCCGAAGTCCTGCAAACAACGCTGGGCGCCGTAGGGGTTTCACAGTCGAGTGCCCCGAATTTGCTGCGCAAAAGCATTTTTTTCACAACGGGAACCTCCATGAAAGCTTGCGCCCGCGTTTTGTTGGCAAATCTTGAAAAAAGCATTCCTCTTCTAACAGGTTCATCAAATGCGACCAAACGGCCCCTTCGCGCGCGCATGTCGAAGTCATTCGAACGCCGTTACGCGCGTTCTGGGAGGTGGGGGTCGTGATCCTCGTCAAGTAATAACGCGCGGGCGGCCGCGCGCGCATGCCGAAATGTTCCTGGCACTTCCATCGCTGTCGCGGTGGACACCATCATCGTCATCGGCGTGGTCATCATCGGCGCCATCATTGGCCATGCCGTCATCGTCGTCCCCATCGCCACCAGCATCGCGACGATCATCATCATCATCATCATCATCATCATCATCATCATCATCATCATCATCATCATCATCATCATCATCATCATCATCATCATCATCATCACGCCTGCTTGTCTGCGTTGCCACGATACCGCGCATCCCCGAGTTACCGATTCGCACTGAAGGGCCCGCGCGCCAGCGCGGCCTGCGAGACGAGTTGGGTAGTTTCAAGCGGTTAGCCCCACCGCGGCCGCGTCGGTCGCGCCAGGCTGACTGACTGGTCTGCGCGCGAGCCTGCGCGCGCTAGCGCGGCCGCAGCGACGCGCCAGCCAGACGTCGACGTTGCCATGATACAGCGCCCGCCCAACACGCCAAGTCGCATTCAAGTGCCCGCTGGGATGTGCCCAACGGTCAGCGCCACCGCGGCCACGTCGGTCGTGCCAAACTTGTTGGCCGCTGCCGCAGCGGCGCTGCGCGCGCGTGCTTGGGTTGGCGCCGCCGCAGAAATCCACCGGCCAACGCTAAGCGCTCATCGCAATCGCCGCCGCATGGGCTGTGCAACCCAATTTGCGGGCGGCTGGGTTGGATGATTGCGCGAGCAGTGGGCTTGGCAGTTCACTGCGCACAACAATACGTGCACAGCATAGGTCGCACCACTGTTATGGCACAACGTTGGTTGCACAACATAGCCTGCCCAACATACAATCGGCCCGGATTAGTAGGTCGACCTTGCCAAATCAAGGGTGCTCTTGTGTCTTGCGCCTCGCGACCCATGCTTTCTACATTATTGTGGCAATGTGGCTTTCGGAAGGGTATTGTGTCTTCTCGCGTGTCCTCTCCAATCAAGTCCGACTGTAGATTGCACCACCCAGACTGCTCCACATGGAAGCGCACTGTTTGGGGGCCGCGCTGGTTAACAGGTTTTTCCCAACAATCGGATGGGTTCCCCAAGTTTCCGCCACGCTGGCGCTTGTGCCTGGTCGTGGGCGCCTCGTGGGCGCCCCCCGTGCGCCGGGTGCGTTTCCTTAGCTTTCGCCTCGTTGGCGCCCGTGGCCGCTCGTGGGCGCCTTGTGGGCGCCCCCCGTGCGTTGGGTGCCTTTTTCTTGGGGTTTCGCCGCGGCGGCGCCCGTACCCGCTCGCGTGCGCTTCGTATGCGCCATGCGCCCCGTGCAGTGGGTGGCTCCCGGGGACTCGCCGCGTTGGCGCCCGTGCGTGTTCGTGGGTTTCCTGTGGGCGCCCCGTGTTGTCACGCCGCATGGTCTACCCAACATGGCTTGCGACGCATAGCTCACACCATATCTTTCACACCACATAGCTCGCACCACGCAGCTGGCACAGGACAATTTGCATTGCTCAGCGTCCATCACGTGGCGCACACCACGCATAGCACACAACCTAGCTCACATCATAATGCTGCTGCGTGCTGCTGGTTTCGGCTCTGCCGCCAGGCACTGTCCTCGATACGTGGTCGCCTCCTCCTACATGCTGGCACCGGGAAAGCTGATCGCGTGCACCTGATCTCTTGCCACTACTTTTCCTAGTTCCCCCTCCCCCCCCGTCGCGAAGATTATTCACGAATTGACGATGACCAAGATAGACGCTGACAAAGGTCGACACCAATGTTTCCGCGTTCAGTCTCGGTCATGGTTTTTCCTCCAAGGAATCCCTTGAGGTTCAAGTTCTTGGGACATTCTTCTCCGAGGTCGTGTCGGCTCAAGTTTCTTCGGTCACTGGAGGGCGGCGGCCCGGATTCTGGCGAGCACGCCGATGGTGCGCTCTCCGCGTTCCATCCCTGGCTGCCTCGTCCTGCTCGTCCTGGTCTTGGTGGCGGCGGCACCACCTTCTCTATGGTGTTCAGGGGATGAGCGACGTTCCGTCGCTCAATGAGCGGGCAGTGGCACCATGTTTCAGGCAGTATTTTCCCCGATTCCTGGATCCACGGATCTGTAATCCATGTTAACGTCCGCCCGAGATACCAGTACCAATGCCCTGGCGTCGTCCTCGCCGTTTCGGGCCTCCTGGGGCGCCCTCGTCGCTACGGCTGGGCTCGCCTCAGGGTCCTGGCTGGAACGCGCCTTGGGCTAGGTCCAGGGTGTGGTGGTATCGGGTACTGGCTTGTTCGTCCACACTTGCGCGACCATTCCACTCAGTGACCTCTGTTGCGCGGCTTTCGGGAAGGGCGGGGCGCCAAACCCAATCGCGCAGGCCGCGGCAGTCGTACTGTACGCAAGGATCGGCAAGTCGCGCACCAAAGTTCGTTCTTGACTCGAGTGACCCTTTGCGTGCAGACGGCACAGCTTTGCTTCCCCAGGTGTTCTCTGGCGTTCGCGCCTGCTGGTGTCGCCTTCTCGTCGGCGGCACCTCTGGCGCGCCTGCAGAAGGTCACCCCACGGCATCAGAAGGCTGAGAGCATCGTGTCGCACTACGAGGAGGAGGGCTGCCCCACGGCGTCGGAGGACACCATGCAGAGTGTCGAGGCCATCGTGTCGCGGACGCTTGGCGTCGAGAGGACGAGCGTGGGGCCGGATTCGACTCTCTCGCAGTTGGGCGCAGATTCGGTGGACGTGGTGGAGGCAGTGTTGTCCCTGGAGGATCGCCATGAAGCAAAGGGTCCCGAGGTTTGTCGCCGTTTCGTGCTCAAGGGCCCTCCCATGGTTACAGTTAAGTCGGGCATGTCCCCTTGCTGGAGATATTCAAGACTGGTACAAAATTAGTCTTGGGACGATGTTTCTATTATTTGGGGGGGTTGATCATTTCCCAACCATCCTGTGGTGCTGGGTCCTCGTTTTGAAGAGAAGGTCACCGCGTTCCTCCGTCCTTCCTTCCTTCCTCCTCCCCCTCCGCCCTCCTTCATCATCATCAGCATCACCCGTTTCAGCACACCCCTCGTTTTTGTTCGTGGCCCCATAGGGAGTTTCACCGAAGGCCCAAGTGCTACCGCCCGCGTGCGCCCGCCCCACCCAGTACAGCGTTTCGTGGCCCCATAGGGAGCTCCACCGACGGCCCCAGTGCTACCGCCCGCATGCGTTCCCCCCCACCCAGTGCAGCGCTTCGAGGCCCCCATAGGGAGCTCCACCGACGGCCCCAACGCTACAGCGCGCATGCGTCCCCCCCACCCAGTGCAGCGATTCGTGGTCGTGGCCCCATAGGGAGCTCAACCGAAGATCCCAGCGCTACCGCCCGCATGCGTTCCCCCCCCACACAGAACAGCGCTTCGTGGCCCCATAGGGAGCTCCAACGACGGCCCCAGTGCTACCGCCCGCATGCGTCCCCCTCACACTGTACAGCGTTTCGAAGCCCCACAGGGAGGTCAACCGAAGGTCCTAGCTAGTGTTACCGACCGCATGCCTCCGCCCCACCCAGTACAGCGTTTCGTGGCCCCAAAGGGAGCGCCACCGACGGACGGCCCCAGTGCTACCGCCCGCATGCGTCTCCCCACCCAGTACAGCGCTTCGTGGCCTCATAGGGAGCTCCACCGACGGCCCCAGTGATACCGCCCGCATGCGTCCCCCCTACACACAGAACAGCGGTTCGAAGCCCCATAGGGAGCTCCACAGAAGGTCCTAGTGTTACCTCCCGCATGCGTCCGCCCCACCCAGTGCAGCGCTTCGTGGCCCCATACGGAGCTCCACCGACGGCCCCAGTGCTACCACCCGCATGCGTCCCCCCCACCCAGTGCAGCGCTTCGTGGCCCCATAGGGAGCTCCACCGAAGGCCCAAGCGCTACCGCCCGCATGCGTCCTCCCTACACAGAACAGCGTTTCGTGGCCCCATAGGGAGCTCCAACGAACCAGTGCTACCGCCCGCATGCGTCCGCCCCACCCAGTACAGCGTTTCGTGGCCCCAAAGGGAGCGCCACCGACGGCCCCAGTGCTACCGCCCGCATGCGTCCCCCTCACCCAGTACAGCGTTTCGTGGCCCCATAGGGAGCTCCACCGACGGCCCCAGTGCTACCGCCCGCCTGCGTCCCCCCCCACCAAGTGCAGAGCTTCGTGGCCCCATAGGGAACTCCACCGACGGCCCGAGTGCTACCGCCCGCATGCGCCCCCCCCACCGAATACAGCGCCCAGTGGCCCCATAGGGAGCTCCACCGAAGATCCCGGCGCTACCGCCCGCATGCGTTCCCTCGCACCCAGTGCAGGAGTTCGTTGCCCCATATGGAGCTCCACCGACGGCCCCAGTGATACAGCCCGCATGCGCCCCCCCCACCCAGCACAGCGTTTCGTGGCCGCATAGGGAGCTCCACCGGCGGCCCCAGTGCTTCCGCCCGCCTGCTTCCCCCCCCACCCAGTACAGCGTCTCGCGGCCCCATAGGGAGTTCCACCGACGGCCCCAGAGCTACCGCCCGCATGCGTTCCCACCCACCCAGTGTACCACTTCGTGGCCCCATAGGGAGCTCCACCGAAGAAGATATTAAATTGCGGTACTTACAACTGCATACGTATGGTTTGGTCCTTCGCCAGGATACGTGTGATTATGTATTGACTATGTTGTAGTTTCTTCCCAAAATCCGCTCGTAGGAGGACATGCCCGACCTAAGGTTACAGATCCGTCAGAAAACGATTCGGGATGAAAAGTTGGTCCTGGGGAAGGCCCCCATGGTCCAGGGCCCCTTTCCGTGAGGACCCGTTGTCTGCATTCCAAGAGGAGTGTTTCAACATCGATTTGGGCGACGCGGTGCTGGACATCGAGCTGCCGACCCCTGAGACCGCGAAGTTGAAGAACCTGCGGGACATCGCGGACCTCATCCAGTGCGAGACCGTCGGTGTACCGGCTGTGCGGTGCTAATTCGCCTGTCGTGCCCATTTTTTCGTGTGCGTTCGCACTGACCACCCCGGTCGGGGAGGGGGAGGCCGGGAACCCTTACAGGCTTCAGTCACGCGAGGCGCGATGTGCGCCACGTTTTCCACTTCCACGGCGGCCCTGCCGCTGTGCCCGTGCCGCGCAATCCAGCGCGCTGCATGCCTGTCCTGGGCGTGGAACCTGGCGTGGGCCGGTTCGCGCCGGCGGCCGGCTCAGCACGCGGCGAACGGGAGGCCGCCAGGAGGTCTTCGCCGACGTGTGCATTGTACGGGGGTCACCCTTTGTCGCAGGCTTCCCCCGTCTGGTGGATCCACGGCCCAGAAGCAATCGGGTCGGACGAGTCTGTGGACCTCCCTGGGCCCATTTGTGGTGGTTGTTGTTTTGCAACCTTGCGAGCGTCTTGGCAGCATCTTGGGGTTGTCTTGGGGCTACATCAGGAGCGTCGGGGGGCCTTGTTAGACCATCTCGAGCATGTATTCTGGCGTCTTAGAGCTGCGAGCTACCTTGAGGCCATCTCGGGGCGTCTGCAGAGCCTTTTTGGGGGCCCCTCGGGTGCGTCTTTGGGTCTTGTTTGGCCATGCTTAAGTTGGGTGAAAGAAAAATCGGCGTACGATGTTTCAGTATGTTTGATTTTGTTTTGCGATGCTTCGTCTACTGTTGATGTTTCGTCCAAAATTCGTCTGCAGGATGACACGCCCGACCTAAGGCCCTGCACGAAGATCGGTGGAATACCTCAGGCCCCTTTTAGGTCTGCCTCATGACCTGGGGAGGCGATGCTGGGGCCATTTTTACTGCCGCCCAGGTCCACCTTGAAGTCATCTTGGGAATCCTTGGGAGCAAAAACTTGTGACGCGCCAAATGCATCGAATATGTAATTGTGCTTCAACGCTTCTTGCACCACGCGGAGCCCGTGAGGAGGCTCTGGGAAGGCGCCAGGAGGCTCTGGCATGGGGACATTTCGGCGGCGAGTTCGAGAGGGAAGTGAGAGGGAGAAGGCCTTCTCAGAGGGCTCGGAAGTTCCCCAGCCCTCTGAGAATTGTTCTAAGCCTTCTCCCCGCAGACACAGAAATGCCGCCTTCCGAGAAGGGGCCGGGGGCGGCCAAGAGGCGGGTGATGACTAGGGGGGGGATATCTTGGCGGGGGCCATGATATCTTCCCAGATTTCATGGCGCCCCTTCTCATTTCAGTACGTCCCTGGCACCCCCCCTGGGCCGCGCACATGCCGCCGGCCACGATGTGTGCCCCCCCCTCTTGGACACCCCTCTCTTGGCCGCCCCACTCTTGTCCGCCCACCTCCGAGAAATTCTGCAAGCCCTCCCTGAAGACACCAAAAACCTCTCAGGAGGCGCGAGGGCTTCTGAGAAGTCCCGCCGTCTTTGAGAAGGCCTGCTCCTTCTCTTAAGTCGGGCGTGTCCCTCTACAGTGGGGATCTTCAAAAATCGGAGGTGAGGGGGTGAGATCGAAGTGGAACGGCGAGCCCCCCACCAGGAAATCGGTTTCGGATTCGTGTTCGTGCGTGCCGTGCGTGCGAGGCGAAGCTGCGTGGGCGGGCGAGAAAAAGTCTCCTGTGGCTGAGGCGCGGCCGGACCAAATGTCTCCCTTCCGGGCGGCCGGGGGCCCGCGGTGTCCCGCCGGTGTCCCGCGGGTGTCCCGTGTGGCTGAGGCGCGGCCGGACCAAACGATTCCCTTCCGGGCGGCCAGGGCCCCGCGGTGTCCCGCCGGTGTCCCGCGGTGTCCCGCGGTGTCCCTCGGTGTCCCGCGGTGTCCCGCCGGTGTCCCGCGGTGTCCCGCGAGGATGATGATGATGATGATGATGATGATGATGATGATGATGATGATGATGATGATGATGATCATGATCATGATCATGATGATGATGATGATGATAATGATGATGATGATGATGATGATGATGATGATGGTGAGATGATGATGATGATGATGATGATGATGATGATGATGATGATGAGATGATGAGATGGATGATGAGATGATAGGATGATGATGGTGGTGTCCCGATGAAGATGATGATGTTGATGATGGTGTCGTTGATGATGATAGTGTCCCGATGATGAGGATAAGATGCTCATGATGATTATGTTGATGATGATGACGATGATGGTGTCCCGACGATGATGATGATGATGATTCCGATGATGTTGATGGAAATGGTGTCCCGGCGACAATGATGTTGATGATGATGATGTTGATGATGATTATGGTGTCCCGATGATGATGCTGATGATGGTGATGATGATGGTGATGCTGATGGTGTCCCGATGATGATAATAATGATGATGACGATGTTGATGATGTTGCTCATGATGATGATGGTGCCCCAATGATGATGATGTTGTTTCTGATGATAATGTCGATGATGATGCGATGATCATGACGATGATGGTGTCCCGAGGATGATGACGATGTTGATGATAATGTTGATGATGAGAACGATGGTGATCATGATGGTGTCCCGATTATGATGATGATTATGATGTTGCTGATGATGATGACGATGACTGTGTCCCGATGATGATGATGATGTTGATGATGACATGATGATGGTGATGATGATGATGATGTTGTCCCGATGATGATGCTGACGTTGATGCTGATGATGTTTATGATGTTTATGATGATGATGATGATGATGATGATGATGATGATGATGACGGTGCCCTCATGATGATGACGATGTTGGTGATGATGTTGATGTTGATGATGTTGATTATGATGATGATGATGACGTTGATTGTCAGAGCGATTGTGATATCGATGGTGAGATCGATATTGAGACCGAATGTGAGATCGATTGTGTGATCGATTGTGAGATCGATTGTGAGATCAATCGTGAGATCGATCGAATGAGATAGATCGAGTGAGATCGATTGTGAGATCGATCGAGTGAGATCGATCGAGCGAGACCGATAGTGATATCGATACTGGGATCGATAGTGAGACCGATCGAGTGAGACGTTGGTTCCCCCCCCCCGAACCTCCTTATCACCCGTATAGGTAGTATATAAAAATAGTCCCGGAACGATGTTTTCACTGTTTTCGACTATTTCCCTACCTAGGCTCTGCCTAGAAGGGTTCTTACTCTCTTAGCTTAAAGGGGCCGGGCAGTGCAAAGCGCCCCGGGCGGTTCCCCCAGTCCCCTGGGAGCGGTTCCCCCCAGTCCCCTGGGAGCTTTAGCTTTAGCTTTAGCTTAGCTTTAGCTTAGCTTTAGCTTAGCTGTAGCTTAGCTTTAGCTTAGCGTTTCGCTTAGCTTTTCGCTTAGCGTTTAGCTTAGCTTTAGCTGAGCTTTAGCTTAGTTTGAGCTTAGCTTGAGCTTAGCTGCAGCTTAGCTTTAGCTTAGCTTTAGCTTAGCTATAGCTTAGCGTTAGCTTAGCTTTAGCTTAGCTTTAGCTTAGCTGTAGCTTAGCTTTAGCTTAGCTGTTGCTCAGCTTTAGCTTATCTTTAGCTTAGCTTTAGCTTAGCTTTAGCTTAGCTTTAGCTTAGCTTTAGCTTAGCTGTGGCTTAGCTGTGGCTTAGCTTTAGCTTAGCTTTAGCTTAGCGTTACTGTTACTACTAATGCTGTTTTCCTAGGGGTTCCAACTCCTAGGTAGGGTCGCACTGGGATAATTTATGGTTTTGGGGGGTATTTTTTTATTTTTCCTCCAAAATCCGCCTGTAGGGGGACACGCCCGACGTAACCCTTGTCGCTTCCCCCCCCCACTCGCTCGCCGCCGATCGCCGCCGCCCGCCCTGGGGATGTGGATCTCCGCGGATCCCGGCAGGCGGCGGCTGGGGTGGACAGGCCCAGGCCACCCTGGTCAGGACATGTCCATACCTCAGGGGGGGAAAACCCACAGACATACTGAATCGTCGATTCCTAAGAAAATATGCGAAAACATGGGAAGTCGGGGGTGGAAGACGAAAACCCTACAAGTATGGAAAAATGTGAGGGATCCGGGGATTAGTGTGTATTTTGTTGTGTGTCCCTGAGCCCCTTCAATACAGTCGGGGCACATGCCAAGAAACACCCTGCCTGCCTCCAGGGTGCCCTGGGTTTCTTGGGCGTCGATGGTTGTGCGATGGAAAGCATGACGTTCCCACAGCAAGAATCAATCGTCCTGGGGTCTCAGGGTTGGGCTTCCTGCGGAAGGTTTCTTGTGGACTGGCCTCCACTGTATCCATATCCGCCGCCTGCTGGGATTCCAGGACGTCGGTCCCGCAGGATGTGGACACGGGTATGCCGCTCGCACGGGAGGCCGCGGAACTAGTGGACCGGCCAGTTCTAATGGCAAGTTGCTTGCGCACTGGCTGGTTTGAGAGTCCGCGTGGTTTGGCAGGCGGCGGTGTTCCGCGGGTGCACGCGGTGCCTGTTCGCTCCGCTGGCCGACCTTGTGTTTCGTTTGTGATGTCGTTTTGCGCACATGGTCACCGTTTCGGCGCCAGGGCCTATGGGGTGTCGCGCGTGGAGCAACACAAGGCGCAAGGGAAAGCACGGACACTCTGTGGGCAAAGCCGATTGTTGGAGCCAGTGCACCACACACCGCCACATGGCGAACATGTTGCAGGATCGTTAACCACATCAGACTTCAGTTGCGACCACGTTCTAGTAGCAGCTTGACTTACATGCCAATCGAGAAGACACCTGATCTAAACAACCTGTGGCCCCGTAAGGCAGCTAGCAAGGGGGCTGACATGTTTCAAGGTTGGGCCAGGACCTGCGTGGCAGAGGCCTCACCGACGTCCAGATCCATCGAACCTTCTTGCTGTTCACTCTACAAAGCAACACGAACATCCTCAACGAGAGAGTATAGGTTCTACCAGTGGATAGGTGTGTCGACGCAATGTGCTTGGTCCTGCCAGCGACCTCTGCCCTGTAACATAGGCTGGCTTTGTAGAGGTAGGAGTTCCTGCAGAGCGGGTGCGAGCCCAGGAAGCAAGTCGAAGGGGGAGTGAGAGCGACAAGCGTGCAAGCAGGGGGTGTGGTCAGTGTTGGCTCGCCCGCTGCATACGGCAGGACGAATGCAGAGAGTGAGGCGGTGTTTCAGAAGTTTCAAAGCCTCCACATCCTCTGTCAGAAGACATCAGGGGTCGACCTGAACCGTGTTTTGACGACTTCGTGGGCCGTTTTCGTTTCGGGTTCGTTTTGCGGCAGAGGCGCATTGGAGGAAAACAAAACGAAACCGAAAAACACTGTCTAGGTCGATCCCTGGAAGGCACTGCGACGCTGGGCAATACCGAGTCAACGGGCCAGCTGGGCGGTGCGCAGCGGGCCCACCGCACGTTTGAAGTGCCGCCCGAAGGGGCGTGGGAGCTTCCGGCGGGAGCGGCTGGACGGCTGTGAGAATAATCTCAGCGGGGAGGCGGCTTGCGTGCTTCTGCCCAACCCCCTCTCCTCTACCCCTCTGGTTCCGGCGGCGAGCGAGGGGGGTAAGTGGGAAGGAGAAGGCCTTCTCAGAAGGCTCGGAAGCCCCCCAGCCTTCGGAGAAGTTTTCCCAGCCTTCCCTGAAGACACCAGAAACCTCGCAGGAGGCGCGAGGGTCTCTGAGAAGTCCCGCCGCCTTTGAGGAGGCCTTCTCCTTCTCACTTCCCCCCTCGCTCGCGGCCGGTGGTTGGCCGAAAAGGGGGGTCCAGCGAAAAGCGGGCGGTGTGCCATAGAGATCTGGTGCAATGTAGGCTTGTAGGGGTGCAGTCGGAGTTTGGGGCGTGCGGCACCTTCCGGTGCTCACGTCTGCTTCTGGATGTTCGCGTGCGCTGCATTTCGTTGCCACGCGAGTCCTCAGATCTCGTGCGCCGCCCCCTTTCAGCTGGACCCCCTTTTGGGGTCCACCAAACCCCTTGCCGCTCGGGTCGGACGACCATGGGGGGGACCAGGCAGGAGGGGAAAAAACACAGACACAATGAATCATCGATCGCCAGGAAAACAGGGGAACATATGGGCAGTTGGGGGGGGGGACACCGAGCATCCAGAACATACGAGAACGCACATGGAGAATCCTGGAATGTGTGTCTATTCCCCAATCAGTGCTTGCACTGAAGAGGTCCTAGCGGAAATTGAAAGATTTGGTGGCCGGCTGGGCTCCCAGGGTTCCGGGGTTCCCAGTTCTGGGTTCCCGCCGGTTTTGGTGGCCGGCTTGGTTCCCTGGTTCCCGGGTTTTTGGTCATTGGTGCCGGTCTGATTCTGGTGGGTTCGGAGTTCCCGGGTTCCCGGGTTCCCGGTCGATCTCCTCATCGATCTCTTTATCGATCTCATTTCAAGCCATCCACTGATTGGGGTCTTCCTCTGGTGTGAGTTATTTGCGTGTGTCCCAGGGCCCCTTGTGGCCAGGAGGGGCGGGGGGGGGGGCCGAAGGAGAGGCTGGGGCACCTATTCGAGAGCGGCGGCGTGCCGCCGCTGGCTCGGCCCCGCCGCCCCTTCTCGACACGCCGAACATCCAGAGCATCCAGGACATCCCGGGACGTGTGTCTAGAGGAGGAGGAGGAGGAGGAGGAGGAGGAGGAGGAGGAAGAGGAAGAGAAGCCGCGGAGTCGTCGACTCCGAGGCAGGAGGTGTCAATCTAGATCTTTGCGTGTGCCCCAGGGCCTCTTCCGACCAGGAGGAGGAGGAGGAGGAAGAAGAGAGGAGGAGGAGGAAAGGAGGAAAGGAGGAGGCGGAGGCGGAGGTGGAGGCGGAGGCGGAGGCGGAGAGGCGAGGAGGAGGAGGAGGAGGAGGAGGAGGAGAGGAGGAGGAGAGGAGGAGCTAGGAGGAGGAGAAGGAGGAGGAGGAGGAGGAGGAGGAGGAGGAGGAGGAGGAGGAGGAGGAGGAGGAGGAGGAGGAGGAGGGGGGGGGCGGAGCACCGAAGGCGAGGCCGGGCACCTATACGAGAGCTGCGGCGTCCAGCCGTTGGCGCGGCCCCGCCGCGCCCCTCGTCGGCACGCCGGCGCCTGGCCCCCGGGGGCCACGCGGGCGCCGGGGAGGCGGTCTCGGGCGAAACCGGGGGCGGCCAGAGGGGGACGATGACCAGGGGACTATGTTTTGAGTATGTTGGGTGGTGCATGTTTTGGGTACGTTGGAGCATTCTTGCAGCACTGCTTGACTACTTTTTTTTCCGTCCAGGATCTGCCTGTAGGGGGACACGCCCGACCTAAGCCTTCTGAGAAGGCTGGGGGCGGCCAAGAGGGGGGTGATGACTAGGGTGGTGGGTGGATAGCATGGCGGGGGCCATGACATTTTCACAGATTTCATGGCGCCTCTTTTTTTTCCAAGACGTCCCCGACCCCCCCCCTGGGCTGCGCACATGCCGACGGCCATGATTTGCGCCTCCCCCCCTCTTGGACGCCCCCCTCATGGCCGCCGACGACGAAAAAGGTCCCTTTCAACGGGGGCCCTCGAAACTCTACGCCATGCTTCGTGAAGAAGACGAAGGAGAAGAAGAAGAAGAAGAAGAAGAGTAATAACCAGAAACATAAATAAACTGTTGGCGCTCCGCGCGGTTTTCTTGGATCCGCGCTGGGATCTGCTGGCGGCGCCTCTGGCGCCGCCCCTGGCGCGCTCCGCGCGCCAAGGTGGGGGTCCGGCTTGGATCGAAGAAATCCGTTCGGAGCGCCAAAAGTGATGTTTATGCCGTTTTGCGTTCTTCTAGTTTCGTGCAATCGTTTGTGCTGGATCGTGTCGGATGCGGGCCGAGCGCGTTGCATTTGGCATCGCTGGTTTGTGAGAGAGGCCACGCACCCTGAGCCGCAGGACGAGCTGGTGCAAGCGGTTTTCGCGACCCCCTGACGAAAGGCCCCCTCTGCCCGGAACTAGGGGGAGGCCAGCTACGCCGGCCGATTCGCTAACCCCCTTAATGCCTCCCCTGTCGTCCGGCCCGAGCATTCTCCTCGGAGGATTTGGGTCTTCTGCCCCTTTGCGCCGCCTCCCTTGTCCAGCCGCAGCCTTCCAGCCCCTGGCCATTCTCCGGACTCCTCTAAACCGCTGTCTGTCGAGACATTCGCAGCGTGTGTTCCAGTCCAGCCGCCCGCGTGCCCATAGGAGCGAGCTTGCGCCATCCAGGGGCAGGTGGAAGCGCGCACAGCCGAGCAGGATCCTGAGGATGAGAAGTTTCCCAAGGGTGCCCTTTCGTCCTTGCATCTTCGACCTATCCCCAGCCACCTCCTCCTCCTCCTCCTCCTCCCTCCTCCACCTCCTCCTCCTCCTCCTCCTCCTCCTCCGCTTCAAAGGCCGCACCTTGGGCGTCCAAGGTCCTCGCTTCCTCGCCGCGCATGCCGGGTCCTGTCGCGCTGCCTGGTAGGCTTTGGGCGCCTGCGGACAGCAGATTTGTTGCTTTCGCTGGACCCCCTTTGGACGGGCAGGGGTGCAGGTTGGGAGCTTGGCACTGGAGATGGTCTGCCGTCCGCGGGCGTCTGAAGTTTATGTTTGCGAGCCTCCGTGCCCCTCGGCTGAGATCCTCTGCGACTCGCAGGTTCACTAGTTCGCCTATCACTCAGATTGCTGCGTCGGCGGGACAACATTGATGGGCCCGTTTTCCACCACCACCACCACCACCATACGTTGGGGGGGGCAGGAGGTGGAAGACGAGGAGGAGGAGGAGGAGGAGGATGAGGAGAGGGAGGAGGAGGATCCCCCCCTCCAACTTCTGGTGGTGGTGGTGGAAAACAGGCCCATCAAACATCTGCTTTCTTCGTCATGCCCCTACCGATCACACGGCACAGAGCGCAATTGGGCGCGTCTCCCGTGCGGGCGCGCATGTGCGCTTGCGGATGCGAGTGCGCACGTGGTAGAGATTCGAGCGAAGAAGCAGAAGACGAAGAGGATGCAGAGGCGGAGGAGGTACACTTGGACCGAGCTATGAGATCGAGGTCGTTTTGGGGAGGGTACCCTTGTGTTTTTCGTGGTTGTTGGATGCTCGTGTGCATCCTGTGGGAAGGATACCCTCGAATGCTCGTCAGTTTGGCCGGCGGAAGGTCGCATGTTTTTGAAGGATGTTTGTTTGTCTGTCCTAGGTCCAACTGTGGAGGAGGAGGAGGAGGAGGAGGAAGAAAGAGGGAGGATGGAAGAGAGAGGAGAAGGGAAAAGGAGGGGGAGGAGGAGGAGGAGGAGGAGGAGGAGGAGGAGGAGGAGGAGGAGGGCGAGGCGGATAGTGACAATCGCACTCCAGTCTGCGGGCCCGAGCTCTCGCGCGCGCCTCGAGCGCTGGCAGAGGTCATGAACCCCGAGTACGACTTCCTGTTCAAGCTGCTGCTCATCGGCGACTCGGGCGTCGGCAAGCGCCCTCCTTGGCTAGACAGCTGGGGGGGGATGCCAGAGGAACGCCCGGTGCGGCGGGAGGAGGAGGAGGAGGATGAGGAGGATTGCCATGAAGCAACCGTGTCCCAAGAAAAGCGAGTCCTGTGGGCTTGGCGTCGCTCGGACATGAGCTTTCTTCTCGGCGAGGGCCAAGGAGGAGGAGGAGGAGGAGGAGGAGCAGGAGGAGCAGGAAGAGCAGGAGGAGAGGAAGAGGAGGAGGGAGGTCAGGTGGAGGAGGAGAGTGTGAACCTTTGCTGGTCTGCACAGAATATTCTTGGAACATTTCTGGATAAGGCCATCTTGTTTTGATACGCCGGCTTCTGTTCTGAGAGCACTGAGTTTGTTCCCCAATTATGTTTTCCTAAGGTGTTCTTGCTTGGTTAAAGGTTGGTACCTCGTATTCGTACGTTGCCCGTTGCCCGGAGGTTTCCTGGTTTCTCCGGGTTCCTTGAGGGGGTCCCCCCCCCTGTGCCACCTAATACTATTGTTACTTTGCCCGTTCCTCGGTGGTTCCCCGGGTTCACCGCGCCCAGTGCCTCGTATTCTTACTGTGCCCGTTCCAAGCAGTGCCAAGCAATGCCAAGCATTGTGCCCCCATGCAATAGGAAGCTTGCCCCTAGTTGAGGTCGCGCCAGGCTCATTATCATAACCTTCTTAGGGGACGAAGACGATATAACATAAACGTTTCCATTGTCGCGACGCCTGCCCCAGAGCGGCTGGAAAGTTTATACCCCTACGATGCCACGTCGGTGTATCAACTTTCGGCAGGTGCTCCCGACGGCGGAAAAGTGTATGCCACACCGCTTTTCGTCCCCCAGCACCCGTTTGTTATAAGACCTTATCGGATGACGCCTTTATCTGCAGTCGCTATTCGGCGCTCGGATTCGTACGCGCAGGTTGTTCTCGGTGGTGGTAGGCCGAGAGGCATGCCAGGACGGCCGGTCCCTGCTCTAAGCCGCGCCCCGGCCGCATTGCCGCCCGGAGGGCACCTCTCGGACTCGGGCGAATGGGTCCCTTGCAACGGGGGTCTCGAGCATGCACGCGTAAGTCGGGCATGCCCTTCTACAGGAGGAACATTCAAACATAACATGTTGGAGTATTTGGGGGTGTTTGATTTTTTTCGTCCAAATCCGCCTGTAGGGGGACATGCCCGACCTAAATGTGCGCAATGTGTCGCGCAATCGTTCGTGCTGGATCGTGCTGGATGCGGGCAGGGGGCGCTGCATCTGGCGCCGCTGGCCCGTGAGAGAGAGGCCACGCGCCGTGAGCCATAGGCTGAGCCAGGCGAGCCACAGGCTACACCGCCATCGAGGCATTCACAGCGTGCGTTCCAGTCCAGCCGCACGCGTGCCCATGGGAGCGAGCTTGCGCCATCCCGAGGCAGGTGAAAGCGCGCACAGCCGGAGGATAAGAGGTTTCCCAAAGGGTACCCTTTCGTCCTTGCATCTTCGACCTATCCCCAGCCTACTCCTCCTCCTCCTCCTCCTCCTCCTCCTCCTCCTCCTCCTCCTCCTCCTCCTCCTCCTCCTCCTAGCTCCCCCTCCTCCTCCTCCTCCTCCTCCTGGCTCCCCCTCCTCCTCCTCCTCCTCCTCCTCCTCCTCCTCCTCCTCCTCCTCGGAGCACTGGGGCCCTTCGCTCCCTTGCCTGGAGAGCCGAGCCTCGCCCGCGGGGGGCCGGCGGCGGCGCCCCCGCCGCCCCGTGCGCGGGCCGCGCGGGCGCCCACCCCCCCCCCCCCCTCCCCTAAGCGGAGGCTCCGCCGCCGCGCCGCTGCCCCGCGCCACGCCGCCCTCCGGAGGGGCCGCCTCTCCCGAGGCTCATGTCGGGCGTGTCCCCCTACAGGGGGATTTCCGACGACAAATAAAAGATACCCCCAAAAAATGCTTCGAAAAGGTCAAAAGATGCCCCAAAAAATAGTGCCCGGACTATTCTTGGACTATTTTTGACAATTTTGGGGGTATGTTTTATTTTTCGTCGAAAATCCCCCTGTAGGGGGACAGGCCCGACTTAACCCGAGTCCCGAGGGCAGGCGGCGGGGGGAGGGTGGCCTGCCGCGGGCAGGCCCCCCGATCTTGAGAGGGGCGTTGGCGGTGGGGTCGGTTCGGTGGCGTCGCATTCGTCCAAGCCTCCCGGGTGGGATCCGAGCAGATGGGGTCGGGAGATCGCACCGCATCGCCGACGCATCCGCGGTGCGGCTCGATGTGGAGCTCGGTCTTCTCCACGCCGACGTGGCCGATGCATCGCCGACGTCACCGTGTCCCGAAGAAGAAACAACAGCTATAAACATAAACGTTTGGCACTCCGTGCGGATTTCTTGGATCTGCGCCAGGCCCCCCCCCCGGCGGCGCCTCCGGCGCCGCCCCTGGAGCGCTCCGCCCGCCAGGGAGGGGGGGTCCAGCGCAGATCCAAGGAAATCCTCGCGGAGCGCCAAAAGTTTATGTGAATGCAGTGCTTGTTTTCATCTATGGGGGGCCGTTAGGTCGGCTCGGTGGCGTCGCGTTCGGTTGCGTTCGGTTCGATGCGGTCGGTCTATCGTGTCGTCGCCGTGTCGCTGCGCCCTCCTTGGGCCAGGCTCGAAGACCCAGAGGTTACCCAGCACCGATGGCGGTAATACTCGGGCGTCTAGGTGGCCGAAAGATGGCCACCAGCACAAATCTCCAGGATCATCTTCACCTGGTGGAGGCAGCCCCTGTGTTGCAGGGCTCGAGCTCAGCGGGGTTTGGGCGACGTCGTGGACCGTTTTCGTTTTGATCTCGTTTCGCAGCACGGGCAGAACGAAGACAGACCGAAACAAAGCGAGAACGGACCACATGTGTTAGCTCGAGCCCTGGGCAGCCCCCTGTGTTAGTGTTGGTTCTCAAGTCCAGGCCTCCCACGGCGGCGGTGGGCGGCCCCCGCGGAGGTAGCCCCCGGCGCCGTCTCGGAGGCGTCTCCCGAGGACGCACAAGCCGCTGCCGAGTGGCATCTAGGCAACGTGGCGGACTCGGGCGCGCCACATGTCAGGAGGGGAAAAACACACAGACACAATGAATCGTCGATTCCCCAGAAAATATGGGAAAATGTGGGAAGTGGGGGGGAAACAAAAAACCCAGAACACATGGAAAATTATGGGGAATATGTTTATTTGTGTGTATGTATTTGTGTGTCCTGGGGCCCCTTCACAGGTGCTTCCAGGCCTCCAGGATGGTGTCCGAGCCGATGGGCTCGGAGGATCGCGCCGCGTCGCTGACGCGATCGGCGACGCGGCTCGATGAAGGGCCCCATTTTGCGTCGCGTCGGCGTCGCCAATCACTGCCGACGTCGCCAGCGCAGCGCCGATGCATCGCCCACGCATCTTCGGATGCAACTCCTGGGAAGTCAAATTCTGACTCTACCCTGGTCCGAAGTCCCGCCTAATCCAGCTTAATCCCGTTTAATCCGGCTTCATCCAGCCTAATGTGTTTCAATCCCGCTGAATCCGCGGCCTAATCTGGCGCAACAGCCCCCCAATGGGGCCTAATCCTCCTTAACTTCTCTGGCGAAGACCTCCCAGTAGTTGCCTCCGAGCGCATCGGATCTGCATCGGCGGCACGGCGCGATCCTGCGACCCCACTTGCTCGAAGTCCATGTCTGGGAGGCCTCTCTGGTCCTGGGAAGCTGCACTTGCACGCCCCATGGGGCGCGCCTCCCATTGGCGTCCCCCCCACTGTGCCCCTCTCTCTCCCACGATTTACAGAGCAGCCCCCCTCCTCGTCTTCCTCTTCTTCCTCCTCCTCCTCCTCCTCCTCTTCCATTCCTTCTCCTTATAAATTACTTCTCCCTGTCGCACCCCGAGGCCAGTTTTTAGGGTGGGCTGGGCGTTTCGCCTGAGACTTCCTCATCACTCATGACCCTGAGGCTTCAGAACTGACAACAGCTTCACAGTTGGAGGGCGGGTCGTGTTCAACATGTGGATCTAGCGCCGCGCACATTCGTTTCAATTACTTACAAGGGCGTCACGGATTGAGGGTGGTTCCTTTTCAAATTGTGGTTCTGGCGTTAGCGCCGCGCACATTCATGTAAACAAATTGCAAGAGCTTCACGAACTGAGGGCGACCCGTTTCCAAAATGCGGTTCTCGCGTAGCGCCGCGCACATTCGTTGCAAAGAATTTCCAAAAGTTTCACGGATTGAGGACGGTTCCTTTTCAAACTGTGGTTCTCGCGTTCGCGCCGCGCACATTCGTTTTCAAAATTCGCAAAAGTCGCACGAATTCTCATGATAAGCGTATCGGAAATTGCGTTTTGGAAGGATTCAGGATTATGAGGGTGCAATAATTGCATTGATGCGTGGTGTGAAAGTCCCAGGAATGGCGTTCGGGCACGATTCAGGATCGCCACGATGCAAGAGTGAGGTTGATCTGTGGCGCTGGAATCCCGATAGCAATGCTTTGGCATGTTTCATGGTCGTCAAACGGGAAGAGGGAGCTTGGAAGAAGTTTTGATCACAACATCGTTGACGACTCTTAGGTTTACACTGGTCCTCCCTCCTCCTCACCACGATCCTGGGGGGCCACAGGAAGTTCCCGACCCCCCCGAAAGAAAATTCGGGTTTGTACGATGTCGTCTGTGCTTTCTCGTTGTTGCAGAATGCCCCCCCCGTTGGAAACTGGCAGGCCCAGCTGCAATTGCGGGTTGGTTTGGGGTGGTTTGGTCTGTAGTCATTTTCAGAGGAAGGGAGAGAGAGAGAGAGGGAGAGAGGAAACAGAGGAAGAGAGAGGAAGAGAGAGGAAGAGAGAAAGAGAGAGACGCCTCCGCCGTGCCTCTTCTCTGCACAGTGCCGGCCTTCTCCGTCGCCCAGCCGCCCGCCTCTCGCGGCCCTGCCGGGGCGAGTGTTGGCGCCAAGCGCATGCCCAGCCCGCCGCGAAAGAGGGAGGACGGACGGAAGAAGGAGGACGGGGAGGACGGAGGAGGTCGGAGGAGGAGGAGGAGAACGGAAGAGGAGGAGGAGGAGGAGGAGGAGGAGGAGGAGGAGGAGGAAGGGAAGGACGGAGGAGAAGGACGAAATAGGAGGACGGAGGCGGAGGAGGAGGAGGACGAGGAGGAGGACAACAACGACAGAGGACAACGACGAAAACAGGGGACGTGGAGGACCAAGAGGACGGAGGACGGACGACGGACGACGGACGACGGCGGCGACGACGGCGACGACGACAGAGGAGGAGGAGGAGGAGGAGGAGGAGGAGGAGGAGGAGGAGGAGGAGGAGGCGGAGGAGGAGGAGGAGGACGGATGAGGAGGACGGAGGACGGAACTTCGGAGGACGGAGGAGGACGGCCTCCGAGGTCCTGCCTGCTGCTGCGCTTCGCGGACGACACCTACACCGAGAGCTACATCAGTGCCCCCGCGCGCGTGTTCTGCCTTTTTCTCACCTTTTCCCTATCGCGCCCCCGTCGTCACCCAGCCGCGGCGACGAGGGCAGGACAGGAGTGCATGGCGTCGGGATCACCTTCATCAGCCATGAGTCAGTCAGTCAGTGCCCCCGCCCCCGCCTCCGGGGCAGCCCTGCACCCTGGGCTTCTGGGGCCCGGCCCGGGGCGGGGAGGGGAGCCGCGGGACAGGGCCGGCCCCGGAGCCCCTCGGGCCGCCCCCCGGGCTCAAGAGACGGGCCCCTTTCGGAACCCCTCGGAGCCCTCGGGCCCCTCGGGCCCCTCTTGGGACGCCGCTTGGAGCACATGGGACGTCTTCGGGGCCTCTGGAGGCGTGTTGGGGCGATTTCGGGCGCACTGGGGCACCCGTGGGCCTTCTCGGAGGCGTCTTCGGCCCTTGTGGACGCTTGTCGGGCCTACGCTTTGCCAGCTGCACTACCAGGAGACGCGTGCGACACGCCCGTCGAGGCTCACGAGACGGGGGTCCTTGCAAGCGGGGCAGGATCCTGCAGAGCCAGGGTTGCATTGACCCGGGCTCGGGTGATTGACCCGGGCTCGGGATCTTGCAGGATCCTGCAGAGCCTTACTGACTCGGGTCTGGACTGACCCCGGCTAGTAGATCCCCGACCCTTTCCTTCCGCTACAAGTAAGACGAAGACCGGCAGCAATTCCGTCTCACTCTGAACAGGACTCGTTGTCGGTGTCGCCGCAGATGTTGTCCGTTCGAGAAAGAAGACCGCCTGCCCAACAGCGGCCGCTGTCGCTTTGGAGCAACATTTGTTGTTGGACATCTCGTTTTGGGATGAAATCCGTAAGGGCTTCGCCCCCTGCCGCCGGCCCCCTCTCTCGGAGAATGGGCCATGGAAGAGCTAAGTCATGAGGCCTTGGCGCTGTCGTGAAGCAGTATCGAAACTTCATGCGAAGCCGATTCGCAATCAGCAAAACCAACTGATCACAAGAGGGGTTACCACACCTGGCGATTGGTAAGACGTGTATGGTTTACGGGCTTGGTTACCACACCTTGCGATTAAAGGGCCGAGGGAGTTCTCGCAGTTTGGGTTGCCACGCCTTGCGATGGATGTGCGTGAAGGGTGGCACCGAATTTCAGAAATGTGTCAAATCCCCTGTGTTTTTGGACCCTGACCCCGCGGATCTGCGTGAGGGGTGGCACCGAATTTCAGAAATGTGGCAAATCCCCTGTGTTTTTGGACCCTGACCCCGCGGATCTGCGTGAGGGGTGGCACCGAATTTCAGAAATGTGGCAAATCCCTGTGTTTTTGGACCCTGACCCCGCGGATCTGCGTGAGGGGTGGCACCGAATTTCAGAAATGTGGCAAATCCCCTGTGTTTTTGGACCCTGACCCCGCGGATCTGCGTGAGGGGTGGCACCGAATTTCAGAAATGTGGCAAATCCACTGTGTTTTTGGACCCTGACCCCGCGGATCTGCGTGAGGGGTGGCACCGAATTTCAGAAATGTGGCAAATCCCATATGTTTTTGGACCCTGACCCCGCGGATCTGCGTGAGGGGTGGCACCGAATTTCAGAAATGTGGCAAATCTCTTGTGTTTTTGGACCCTGACCCCGCGGATCTGCGTGAGGGGTGGCACCGAATTTCAGAAATGTGGCAAATCCCTTGTGTTTTTGGACCCTGACCCCGCGGATCTGCGTGAGGGGTGGCACCGAATTTCAGAAATGTGGCAAATCCCCTGTGTTTTTGGACCCTGACCCCGCGGATCTGCGTGAGGGGTGTCGATTTCGAGCCCCCCCAGCAATTCAGACAACGCGCCCAGGGGGTGCTAAAAAGCCGGTTTGGGCCTCCCCCCCCCTCGCGCGGTCAATCAACTAGTTACAGTAACCAGCAATAAGTCAACTAGTTACAGTAACCAGCAAGAAGCAGAACTGGAACACTGGAAACTACAAGCTACAACTGGTACAGGAAACTGCGAACCTCGCGCCTACAGCCTGGTGGCCCCACAAGGGGGCCGGCGGATTTGCTTCCGCACGGTAGGTTCGTGTCGTGTCGACCAGCGGCTGCCCCGCCAGCAGTGTTCGATTTTGAACGCCGCGGGCGACCCAGAGTCGTTCGATGTGGAACGATTTGGACGTTTCGGAAACGGCCGATCGTTCAAGCTTGAACGATCCCCGCGGTGTCAGAAACCAACGCCGAAGTCGGCACCACACGAGCTTGACGTACACTTTCCCAGGGGAGCAACAGTTGCATAAACATAAAAGCTCGGAGGTCTGCGCGGACCTCCGAGTTCTTGTGTTTATGCCACTTTTTGTTCCCCTACTGACGTACCCATGTCGGGCGTCCAGATCCTTCGGCCGTCTGGGGGCCCTCGTCTTACGTCGGGCCTGTCCCTTTACAGGAGGAGTATTCAAGAATAGTAAAACAGATTGTCCGGGGGCGATTCTTCAAGTCTTGTTTGATTTGATTGAGCATGTTTGGACTTTTTGGCATCTCTGGTCCAACATCCGCACGTGGCAGGGCAGGCCCAGCCTGGCCCTCGTGCGGGGGGGGGTCTCGGGAGGGGGGGGGGGGGGGCTCGGAGAGGCCTCTCGGGCCGCCCTGGGGCGTCGGAGGCCAGGCCAAGATCAGGAGGGAAAAACACACGCAACACACACACACACATATACACAAACCCACACACAAGCACACACAAACACAAACACAAACAAAAGCACAAGCACAAGCACAAACATCCACACACACAAAATCACACACACACACACTTCATCGTCGAGCCCCACGAGAAGGGATGGAAAAGGATGGGAAGCGAGGGGGCGAAACTCCCCAAAGATAGGGGAATCTTGGGACTCGTATGTGTGTGTGTGCGTGTGTGTGTGTGTGTTCATTCGTTTGTGTTTCCCTGGGCCCCCCTTCACAAGAGGGATGGTGATGCCCTGGCCCCCGCTAGGCTGTGCACGTGCTCCGAGCCACTAGATTCAATTTCCCGTTTTGGACGACACCCTAAATTCTAGACGCTCCGCGTATCCCCACCAGCCTATGTCCTTGTTCGGCGAGGCGGTCCACCTCCATCCGTTCCTTTTTGTCCCTCTTCGTCGTCCTCTACGTGCTTTCGGGGCGCTTCAAGTCCTTCCTGTTCGACATGTTTGCGGCCGTGCCCACGTGCCCTTCGCCGTCGGCACGCTCTTCGGCAGCTGACCGCCAGCTGGATGGTACTACTGTACTCTTCCGCGCGCTGCCGCTTGCACTGCTCTTGACTTCGCTACGGGTGCGGCCCGCCCCAGCACGCTCGGCGTTCGACTCGTTTCGCGCGTCCGCGGACCAAAAAGTATCCCCACCAGCCCAGCCAGAATCGATGGCCACTCGAGTTGAAGCGATCACGGAAGTGCGGGAGCAAAGAGGGGGACGGCCGAACCGTGCGAAGGAGGGAGGAGCAGGAGGAGGCTGGATGGATGGACGAGGGAGCGGGAAGAAGGAGGGCGAATAGGAGGAGGAGGAGAAGGAGGAGGAGGAGGAAGAGGAGGAGGAGGAGGAGGAGGGAGAGGAGGAGGAGGAGGAGAAGGAGGAGGAGGAGGAGGAGGAGGAGGAGGAGGAGCAGGAGCAGGAGCGGGAGCAGGTGCAGGAGCAGGAGCAGGAGCAGGAGCAGGAGGAGGGCAAGCAAAAGGGATAGAGGTCTCTTGGATGCCTCTTGGAACCTCTTGGGATATCTCTTGGGCGCTTGTTGGTGGCCGCTTGGGGCGTCTTGGGGTTCCCTTGGCGGTCCTGAGGGGCTCTTGGGCGTCTCGGGTGCATCGGCGGGGGGCCTCGCGGGGGCCTCCTGGTGTTCTCTTGGGGATTTCCTGGGGGGGGCCTCTTGGCGGCCTTTGGGGGCCGCTTCGGGGCCATGCTGTGGCCTCTCAGGGCCTTTCGGGGCCTCCAGGGCGTTTGTTGGGGCCATCTTGGAAGAGATCCATCAAAGAAGGTGGGGTCGCAATTCCCCCCCCCCGAAACAGGCCAACATAGGGCCTAAACCATTGATTTTGGCTTGCTCGCCGAGGCCGCGTTAGACGCCCCAACAACCCGCAAAACGCCCGTCCAGGTCAAGGGGACAAGGTGAGGGGGAGGGGTCAAGACACCCGCCCGCCCGCAAGCCGTCTGGTTCACTCCCGCCCGCCCTCCCTACATTATAGCCGGAGTGCAGTATCCCCAAACAAGGTTTTTAGAAACACTGCGGTTTCCAAGGTCGATTGCGTGCCCGTCCAGTGCGGGCTGGCATGGCATGTTAAAACATGCCTCCTCCTCCTCCTCCTCCTCCTCCTCCTCCTCCTCCTCCTCCACCTCCTCTTCATCCCGAACGGCATCTCGGATCCCAGAGTTGCGAGGATGTCTCCAGCGTAACGGGCTGGACCACCTCGCGCGCAGCATCTCGGACCCCAGAGTTGCGACGATGTCTCGGGCGAAACGTGCTGCGAGGAAGTCTCAGGCGAAACGGGCCGGACCACCTCGAGCGCGGCGTCTCAGAGCTCCGAGTTGCGGGGGCCTCCTGGGGCCTCCTGGGACCTCCTGGTGACCTCCTGGGGCTTCCTCCTGGGCCTCCTGTGCCCAGGGCGGATATCTAACCTGTGGCCGTCGGGGCCCCCCCAAATGGGGGGCCATAAGAGCAGGAAAATCAACGAATCGGCACCGGATGTGTATTAACTTGACACGTTCTGATAGGGGGCCTCCTGGGGCCTCCTGGGAGCCTCCTGGGAATCTCCTGCGGACCCCTGGGGCCTGTCCTGGGCGTCCTGCGGCCTCCTGAAGCTCTCTGGGGCCTCCTGGGGCTCCCAGGGTCCCAGGGGGGATCTGTCACATGTGGTCTTCTGGGCTCCCAGGCTGGACCACCTCTTGCGCAGCATCTGGGAGCTCAGAGTTGCGAGAATGTCTTGTGCGAAACAGGCCGGACCAACTTGCGCACGGCATCTCAGAGCTCAGAGTTGCAAGGATGTCTCAGGCGAGATGGGCCGGAGTCTCGGGCGAAACGTGCTGCGAGGAAGTCTCAGGCGAAACGGGCCGGACCACCTCCATCGCGGCGTCTCAGAGCTCCGAGTTGCGGGGGCCTCCTGGTGCCTCCTGGGGCCTCCTGGTGACCTTCTGGGGCTTCCTCCTGGGCCTCCTGTGGCCTCCTGAACTCCACCTGGGGCTTCCTGAAGCCTCTTGGGGCTCCCAGGGGGGATATCTAACCTGTGGCCGCTTGGGCCCCTCAAAATAAAGGGGGGGGCCACAAGAGCAGGAAAAATCAACGAATCGACACCGGATGTGTATTAACTTGACACGTTCTGATAGGGGGCCTCCTGGGGCCTCCTGGGAGCCTCCTGGGAATCTCCTGCGGACCCCTGGGGCCTGTCCTGGGTGTCCTGCGGCCTCCTGGAGCTCTCTGGGGCCTCCTGGGGCTCTCAGGGTCCCAAGGAGGATATGTAACATGTGGTCTTCTGGGCCCCCAGGCTGGACCACCTCTTGCGCAGCATCTGGGAGCTCAGAGTTGCGAGAATTTCTTGTGCGAAACAGGCCGGACCACCTTGCGCACGGCATCTCAGAGCTCAGAGTTGCGAGAATGTCTTGTGCGAAACGGGCCGGACCACCTCGCGCAGGTCTCAGAGCTCAGAAGTTCGAGGATGTCTCAGGCGGGCTCCCAGGGTCCCAGGGAGGATATGTAACATGTGGTCTTCTGAGCCCCCAGGCTGGACCACTTCTTGCGCGGCATCTGGGAGCTCAGAGTTGCGAGAATGTCTTGTGCGAAACAGGCCGGACCACCTTGCGCACGGCATCTCAGAGCTCAGAGTTGCGAGGATGTCTCAGGCGAGACGGGCCGGACCACCTCGCGCAAGGCATCTCAGAGCTCAGAAGTTCGAGGATGTCTCAGGCGAAACGGGCCGGACCACCTCTCGCGCGGCATCTCCGAGGTTAGAGTTTCGAGGATGTCTCAGGCGAAACGGGCCGGACCACCTCGCGCAAGGCATCTCAGAGCTCCGAGTTTCGAGGATGTCTCAGGCGAAATGGCCCGGACCACCTCTCGCACGGCACCTCGGGGCTCAGAGTTGTGAGGATGTCTCAAGCGAAACGGCCCGGACCACCTCTCGCGCGGCGTCCCGGAGCGCAACTTTTCGAGGATGTCTCAGGCGAAACGGCCAATCCCGGCCAACTCAGAAACGAGAGTTGTGAGGATGTCTCAAGCGAAACGGCCCGGACCATCAAATTTTTGTGAGGATGTCTCTGCTCCGACTTCTTTCGGCCGGAGTTAGCTTCTATCACAACAGCACCCCGTTCAGGAAGCTGTTTGGGGAACAAAAGTAACTCCCGAACCTGAGCATGTTCAGCGGCCGTTTTTGCATGGACAGCTACTGGGAGCCAAAGCCGACCCCAGGTGCGCGACGTTTGGGCGAGGTGCGCCACGCGTGCCACGGGTGCCACGCGCGCCAGGCACCCTTGGGGCCCGAACGTGCCAGGCGCGCCTGGTGCGCCAGATGCGCCACGTGGTCTGAGTGCGCCAGGTGCGCCGCACACCCCAGCTGCGCCAGGTGCGCCGCTTTCGGGACCCGTGCAGAATGCGTCAGGTGCGCCTGCGCACGTGACAACACACATCGGGAAACATGTCGGCCCCCGCCATCCTTGTCGAAAACAGATACTCATCATTGTGTCTGCTGGGCCTGCGCACAGCAGGCCACGCGGCACCACCCCCGCCGTCTCTGTCAAAAACCACATGACACTGATCGCGGGATGGCCGCGTATTTGGCCACGAGGTGCAGGTTGCATGGTTTTGGGGGTCAGGGATGGTAGCCCTGCGCACAGCCGGGATTATGCTGATCCCCGCCGTCCTTAGCAAGAACAGACCGAGGGGCCCGCCAGCTTCACGAACAAGACTCAAGACTGTGCTTCACAGTGTATTTTGCTTTGGGTTTGGAAAGGGGACAGTGAGCGAGGGGGGGGCGCACCGGGTTGGCCGCGCATGCTCCAAATGGAGGCAGAGTGCGATTTGTATGGTTTTTGTGACAGGGATGGTGGGGGGCGTGTTGCATGGTACCTGGTTGGCCCCTGGTCGCCTGGGGGAGGGGGTGTACACGCATAAAAAAGAGTGATAAAGCCCTCCCCGAAGGAGGGAAGGGTGGAAGAGGAAACGCCTTCAACCACCTACGCCCAGAGGGCAGTTGGAAACTAAGTTCAGCGTGTCCTTCTACAGGGGGAATATTCAAAAAATAGTAAACACATGGTTGTGAAACGATGTTTTGAATATTGTCTGGTTATGTGATGCTATACTGTTTGAATATTGATAGTTTTGTCACCAAAACCCGCCTGTTGGAAGACATGCCCAAACCTAATCTTGAACACGAAAAAACTTGAAAACTATTTCGTCGGCGGCCACGCAAAACGACTGAACCAGCGGTAAAACTCAACGGGGGCACCGAGAAGCGAAGAACAAACAAAAACAATAACATCCTTCAAACACCCGAGGGACCTGATCTGTTTTGGCTTGTCGGTGCCCTCTTGGGGGCCTCGGGGGGGCCTCCTGTTGGAACTCTCGTGGGCGTTTGGGGGGCCTGATGGGTCGCCTACAGGCCATTTTGGGCGTGTTGGAACGATCTTCTGGCGACCCAGAGCGTCTTCGACAGTCGCTTTGGGGCCCTCGTGAGGCCGTGTTGGCCCGTTTCGGTGCCCTGGTGGATCCGGAGAAGTAGCGCGAGAATGCTCGAGAAGGCGTTGGGAACGCTTGGGAGCACCCAAAGGCGCCCAGGAGCGCCCAGAATTCCAGGTCCCTTCAAGAACATGTCAACAGTCGACACAGATGTATCAAGGGCCCTCAGGACACTGCACGTCATGTCTCGGAACACGGTGTCGGATGTTAGGTGCTGTGCGCTTCCATGGGTAGTGCAAGCGTGTTGTTACAAGTTATAAGTCGACTGACGCGGGGGAAGCGTCCCGCCGTCGGCGCAAAGCGGCGGGCGGCTGCATGACCACCCGCCGCGCGCCGCCGCCGCTTGTCGGGTTGGCCAGGCTACCGCGCGGGTTTGCTGGCATGCCGCGCGGCTGTGCGTCGGTGTCCTCTCTGGTTCGTCCCCTCTCCGAGCACGGTCGTAATGCCTCCTTTATGCCGCTTGGCCGCGGGGCGGGGCCGGATATCAAGTACCCGGTCATGCCTGCGGCGCCTTGCCTGCCTACTGTGCACTTTGAGGCAGGGCGTCCGCCCATGGTGTTGCCCCCTGCTTGCTGCAGCGCAGCCATGATCCACCTCGGGTGCCACGCGCGGCGCGTCCGCTCGCCATGGTGTTTCGGACGCGACCGCGCGCGCAGTTCGCTTCGCTTCCCACGCACCACCCTTGTTGGCGGTATGGTGTCCATGCGCTTCGGCCGTCGCCCGAACGCGCCATCCGCCAGTTTTGGCCGACGTGACGGATTGGCGATTCGGCCAGGGTGCCTCCGGCTGCGGTCTCACCCAAGGTCGACTGGGTGCCGTTCTCCTTTCGTGGGTGGCATCGCTGTCCAGCGTCGCCGCGCTGGCGACTTGTGGGGTCATCCGGTACCCACAGAAGGTCAGACTGCAGCTCAACCTCCATGTTTGAGTGCACTCGCTTACTTCGTTGGGCTTTACTCCGTTCCAGAGCATCCAGGCAGCAGCGGCGCGCTTCTTTCGTGCACACAATACGAGTACAACCTAGAGAAAATTATATGACTCAGCGAGTTGGGCATCGTTCCCACTGCCTGGATAACGTGAGATTATGTTCGCGGCTCTTCCAGATTGAATTACTCCTTGCCCACCAGACTTCGCAGCGAATTCGCATGCGCATTGTCAAGCAGTAAAGCGTTCCTCTTCATGTGGTCGTGGAATATCGACTGCAATCAACGCATCACTGTGTTAGAGTCAAGCCGGTGTTCTGTTGGCATGTTGTTCCCCACGGGCGCCGGCGCAAAAAAGAGTCAGCGAATTTCGAATTCGACGCAATTTCAGTTGTCGTAAGGGTCCAGCCATGGTGAGGCGAAGTTTTCCTCGCCGATCGATTTGGAGGGAAACAGGTTCCCTCCTTGGGCGTTCCCTGGGAGTCCCCCCTGGATTCCAATATGGCCCAATCGCATTCCGCCAGGCGTCCATATTGTCCCAGCGCGGCCCACGGGCGCCAAAGAAACAATCCCAAGAGTCCCGCCCCGAGGTTGCCCAGTGGTGCCTCGATCTCACCCACGTGCCTCCGAAAATGGGTCGGGCAGTGGCCCCAAAACCGTTGGGCGGAGCGCGGTGCGCGAGGTTCGGCGGCTCAGTTGTCACTGGTGGTGTGCAGGGATGCATTCTTGCAGCCCCTGCGCTGGAGCTTCATCCCCATCCTCGGAGGCACCATCGGCGTGGATTTCAAGATCCGCACCCTGGACCTCGACGGCAAGACGGTGAAGCTGCAGATCTGGGACACCGCCGGCCAGGCGCCCTGCCAGCGCCGGCCGGCGGGCGCGGGGTCATCAGGGGAGGGCGAGTGGAGACAATGGTAGTTGGCCTGCGTGGGGAGTGCCCTCGTCGCCACGATTGGGCGCACCTACAACAATTGTTCGTTTGGACCCCAGGAGGGGATCGGCGACCGATGCGGGGTAGCGTTGTCTTAACTCGCCCTGCTCCGAGAGAAGGAGGGAGAAAAGGAGCAGGAGGGTGAGGATATGGAGGAGAAGGAGGAAGAGGAGGAGGAGTTGTCGTGGCGCATGCCCTGATCAGTGCGTGGGGCGGCGCCAGACTCGCAGTTGTCGTGACGCATGCCCTGATCAGTGCGTGGGGCAGCGCCAGTCTCGCCGCGGGCACCCGCAGCCCACAAAACCCTTCAGAGCCGCTACGGCCCCCCCTTAGAGCATTGGTGCCAGTCAAGAAGCACTGGGCACCTCAGAAGACCTCCTGTCCTCCTCCTCCGCGCCGGTCGGCGCGCGCGGGGGGGTAGGGATCGAAACGACCGAAGTCGGTGCTGAAAGAACATGGACGAGGCCGACACGACAGCAGGGCTCGCTGTCGGCGTCGGCGCGGCACGTCGCCTGCCCAACAACGGCCGCAGTTGGCTTTTTGACAGCAGTTGTTGCCGGCATCGTATCCGCATTTTCCACACCCATTCTGGGAGTGCCGGAAGAAAGAGGAGGAGCCCCCAGAATTCCTCAGAACCTCCACGACCCCCCTGGGAGCTGCAGAGCCAGCCAAACGCCCCGAACACCTCAGAATTTGTCGTCCTTGTTCTCTGCTCTTTCCTCCTCCTGCCTTCCCGAGGGGAGGGGGAGGAAGAGGAAGAACCACCCGCAAGTCCCCAGATAGTGAACTTCTAGTTGGAGGAGGAGAGCGCAGCAACGGCAACAGCAGCAACAGTAGTCAGGAGAGGAGATGGCGTCGAGAAGAAGGGGTCTGAAAGAAGAGGAGGAGATGAGATGCCAGAGCATGAGGAGGTCAGGAGGTCTCCTGGAATTTCTCAAAAGTCGTTTCGCTTTGCATTGCGTTGCTTTGGGGTTCTTTGCGCCGCATTGCAGTGCGTTGCGTCTGCACTGTTTTGAAGTGTGATTGCGCAGCGTTTCGCTGCATTGATGTGCATTGTGGCACTTTGCATGATTTTGCACTTGCCTCAATAGCTTTGCCATCTGCCGCTGGCCCACCCTCAGTTTGCTTGCATGGCCACGTCTGGTTGGTAGGTCTGGTTCTCTGGTCGGTTGGCTGTCTGGCAACTCGGTTGATTGGCTTGTTGTCTGGTTCGGTGACTGGCAGTTGATTTGGGCTGTTTGCTGGCTTGCTGATTGCGCCTCCAATGGTGGCCTCGGGTGTTGGCCTCGGGTGCGAGGGGTGGCGGCCTCGGGTGCGAGCCTCCATGGGAAAGTCCGGCACGAGGCTTCGAGGCGTCGGGAGGGCGCACCCCGAATTAGCTATTCACGAGCAGACGCGGCCCCGTGCCCCGAGCCGAGCTCTCGGGCAGCGACAGGGGGGGCCAAGACGCGCCGCCCGAACACATATGCCGACACGAAGTACGACGGTTGAGCGACGAGGAAAACCGGGTCTCACGCGTTCAGCCGATCCATATTCCTCATCCCCGCCCCCATCCCGAGCTCCACCATCCGGCCACCTCAGCTGGGGATGTGCCCGTCGAAGCTCGAGGGGAGCAGCACAGCTGGGGATGTGCCCCTCGAAGCTCGACGGGTCTTACACCAGATAGCATGGCGACCTTACGCGGTGGCTTACGCGGGCCGCCAGCGTGGCACGCCGCACTGGAGGCGAGGGCGCTCACGCGCTACCTTGCGCGGGCAGCTTGCGCGCCAATGCCGGCGCAGTCGACCCCGGTTTCCTTCTGTCGCCCAGGTGTTCTCAGCATCGCTCGGCCGATCCCCATTCCCCATCCCCGCCCCCATCCCGAGCCCCACCATCCGGCCACCTCAGCTGGGGATGTGCCCCTCGAAGCTCGAGGGGAGCAGCACATATCCCCATCTGGGGGAGCAAATCTCCTCCTCCTCCTCCTCCTCCTCCTCCTGCTCCTCCTCCTCCTCCTCTTCCTCCTCCTCCTGCTCTTCCTCCTCCTCCTCCTCCTCCTCCTCCTCCTCCTCCTCCTCCTCTCCCTCTCCTCCTCCTCCTCCTCCCTCCTCCTCCTCCTCCTCCTCCTCCTCCTATGATGCTCCGACCTATGTTAGCCTTGATCACCAGGACGAATTTCGAGCGCCCAAAACAGTAGCGAAAACTCAAGGGTTTCCGCGTGTCGGGCCCTGGGAGACACTGGCCCGACATTGTTTCGACACTGTTTCGGCACTATTTTGACACTTTTCCGGGTGTTCGAAATGATTTGTGGGATGTGGTGCTTGAGTAGGATGGGAACAACCTCCTCCTCCTCCTCCTCCTCCTCCTCCTCCTCCTCCTCCTCCTCCTCCTCCAGCCTCCCTGGCCCGAGGAAGGACCGTTCCAGGAGGCACGCCAGACCCCCACACTGTTCCGTGCACGGGAATTACCGCGGAGGCCCTCGCCCGCCATGCCTGGCGGGGGCTGATGCTCCGCTCTCATGTCGTCCCGTCGCATGTTTGGCTTTAACCCTCTACATGCCACACGGCACAGATTGGAGGACAGTATGCAGGAGACGGGGAATTTCGAATTTGTGTTGCTGGGAGGTACACAACACAGCACACACACACACACGGGCAACCCTGTGATGACGACGAGGACTGCTGGGAGGTGGGTGGTGGAAGCGCCGACGTCGACGGCTCAGCATGCAAATAGCTCGTGCGGGTGTGCGATCGGGTTGGGCCCCATTGGAACACAACAGTATTGTGCAAACTTGGCCTTTTTCCGCCTACGGCCCCAGGGAGGGCTTTTGGGGCCCGTGCTAAATATGGCAATGTGGATGTGTGTGCGACTGTGGTGCACTACCCACCCCATACCCAGAAGCGGGCGCACAGGGCCCATTATTTTGCGACGGTTGCCATTCTCACGGATTGGTTGTCGGATGCGATATCGTCGTTACCAGCCCGGTGCGTGCATGTGGTGTATAGCGATTTAAATAACGGTATGGGCACATACCACGATGGCACGTGGTGGCTGCCGCGGGACACCCTTGTCGTAGGGACTCCGAGTCGTGAGAGACCACCGAAAGGGGCGGGGGCACGGCTTCACAAACTTATGGAGACCCACCTTATGTGTGCAGCGAACACGTTCCGCGGAACAGGTCCTGAGCCTACTTTCTTTGGGATGACAGGGAGTTCTCGGATTGCTTATCTGTTTGTTCCGCAGGGTTTCAGCAGTCAGACATGTGCGCGTCGTCCGCATGAGCGTTTGGGCGCGCGTTTTCGGGCACTCGCGTGTGTTCTGCGTGTGTGTGTGTGTGTGTTCTGGGCTACGACAAACACGGGGCGCACCATGGAGAGGCGCAGGCGAGATTGGGGGAAAGGTGGAATATGGATGTTATGATGTAAACGGTACGGGAGGGACAGAAACGGTACCGAATTCTGGAAGGTCAGTGTGGGATTGGACGGTTCCACGCACTTGCAGTGGATGCGCGATCAGGCTTCGGCCGATGAGATATTCGAGCATGGACGGGGCAATTGCCAGGGCGGGGCAGGCTTGTTTCGGACCAGTGTCGTATCAGGGGACCGACGACTCAACAAATGACGCTGGGTTCCCAACGAGTGAAAACCGAACACGTTGGGTTGAAAACGGTCGGTTTTTCGGGGTCGACCACCGCGCCCAAACTCATGGGGGCCCCGCGGCGGCCTCTGCGCGCAGGCGGTGGCGACTGGCCCGATGGGCCCACCTCCGAAGCACTAAACTGGGGGCTTTGTTTGCGGAGGTGGCCTCCCCTGATGAGGAGCTCAAGCAGTTACCCCACGAGCGGTTTCGGTTGAGGCGGTCACGGAAGCGGGAGCGACCGGCGACCTTATTGCAGGAGGCGAGAGAGCGATGGGGACGTGGGCAAGTCTCTGAGGGGATGCGGTTAGCCAGGCGCGCGGCCAATTGCTGGCACGGGGCCAAGAAGAGGGACGGGCGCCTGGCCAGAGGCATGCCCCCGAGTCGAGCCGACTGGCTCGCGGCATGGTCGCCCTCGGGCCCTGAAGGAGGGGCGCAGGTGCATGAGTGCACGCGGGGCGAGCGAAGGAGCAGCAGAGAGGATCAGGGAGGTGGTGGCTACGCGCGATACGGCGATATGCACGACGAGCCCCGAAACGACGCGCCGCCACCGCGGGCGCGCCCCTCTCGAATTATGGCAGCAAGTACTGTGGCCGAACTACAGGGCGCGCTTGCGACGGGGAGTGGGGCCACGGGGCCAATGCCGAAGACGCCCATTTTCTGGTTTCTCCTGGAGCTGAGCCGTCTACAAAATCCGCGAGCATCGGGAAATCCCATTGCGTTGGAACGAATCACTGGGCGCAGGACTGCACAAATCATTGGTGAAGGGGCCTCGGGGCAAGCGGGTGACCCACGCCCCCCCCCCCCCCCCCCCCCGCAGTGGGCAAAGCGCATTGTGCGACAGCTCCGAGCTGCGCCGACGGCCCAGGATCACCGCTTCGCGGGGGGGGGGGGGGGGGGCGCGGAGGGGGGATGCCACGCTCGTTGCTCAATTGACGAGTGGGCGATTATGGAGCATGGGCCGTGCCCGCTGCATGTCTCTGAGAGATATCAGCAGCGTTTTGGTTGTTTTCGAGTTTCGTTCTTTGTGGACGGAGCTGGATGCAACAGTATCTCCGCGCGCGCCCCCCCCCCTTCCCCGGCGATGCCGACTTGCGCAGGCCGCGTTGCAGACAGGCAATTATCGAGTTGGACTCGCGCGACGGCACGATCTGTGTGCGACCTTGATTCGGCGGCGCGATGGGGGCGCCCCCTTACGGCGCAGGGCTTCTTGGGGACTTTCGGACGGGCCACGGCGGCATTGGGGCACCACGTCTTTACTAACGACCGATCGGCCAAGTTCTCGATGTCGAGTTGGCAACAGTTC